ATTTAAAAAATAATATTTAAAAAATTATAAATATTATAATATTTAAAAATGTAAAAATTTAGTTATTTTTGTTCTTAGAAAAATACATTTAAAAGGTGTTACAGTATATAAGAATAATGTTTTATATTTATGTATACATAATATTTGTCGTTCAACAAAATAAAACGTCAAAAAAATAAGGTTCGACATCTTCTGATCTTTTTCTACACCACATTAATAATTTAAAATAGAATTAATAATATTGGAATCCGAATTATCTAACATCATTTTTTTATCTATATCGAATTGTCCGATCTTCTTATTGAGTTCTGATGACAACAATGTTACGCGCAATTTTTTCGAGCATAATGTTAGCGTCATAAGAACTTGTTAATAAGGTCAGATAATCTGGGAGATGAAAAAACAGTGTCAGATAATCCGTGCTCTACTGTAAATCATGCAATAATTTATTTAATCCACAAAACATTTATGTACGCCCACCACAATATTTTACTGAAATATTAGAACGATAATAATATTTTCAAATAATATTTTAAATTGTTGAAAGTTACATTTTTGTAATTATTTTTATAATCTTATTCTACTCAATGCTATTTTTAATGGGGAACATCATTGTGACGGTTAAAAAAAAAGGCTATTTTTGTGAATTTTTTTTATAAAACTAATAGCTTGTATGAATGATTGTCTTTATATATTCAAAGTACACACATTTACGAAGTTATTACAAAAAATTCATTAAACAATATTAATATTTCTAGCTTCAGTGCTCATTGATGTGCATTTTATCTGGAAAAACATGGTACAAAAAACACGGATACTCGTGCTGCGTCTAAACGAGGGCACTAAAATAAAATATTTTAAAAATTTTAAAGTATATGAGTATAGTTTCAGTTAAACATACTTATTTTTTAATATAATTTTAGACAAAATGGAGCTGTTTTAAAAAAAGAAGTCGCGATTTTGCGAAAAAAATTGTTACTTTTTTTTTATTATTTTTCAAAAACTATAAGCCGATTGAAAAATTTGTTTAACTTTGAAGACAATTTTATTATATAAACATTCTGTCCAAAATTCAAGCCATTCGGATAAAAATTGGTCGAGATATGTGAGCGCCCAGTTACGAGAACATGGTTTCGAGAAAAACGTGTTTTACACCCGATTAATTTATGCACCTGAGCCATGTGCTATTCCATCACATATTTACTATAGTTCTGTTACGAATTTCAACATAATATTTTAGAGACATATTTTTAATTTTTTACATTACAAAAATATAAAAAAAAATCAATTTTTTAACCCGTCACAGTTCCCTCTTAAGAGAATGATATTATATTCTCAAATTTTAAAAATCAGACAGATTGAATTGATATTTTAATCATTTATTTTAATCTTTAATAAAAGGTGATAAGCGTAAACTTATAAAAAATATAAAAATTGTGTTTTAAAAACTGTATAGAAAACTTTAATTAAACAAAACTTATAAAAAAATAAATTCCATGCTTTTCCTATTTTTCTAAGTATCAAGAAACATACATAGAACTTCTTTTTGCATTATCCATTTCATAGTCATTAGATTATCCGGTACTTCAAATGGTTCATCAATATCAAGCTTCCATAGAATTCGTTGCTTTAATTTTGACAGAGCTAGGATAACGGTCTTAATCTTGTCTAATCCAATCGATTTCCATTTTATATTTGTTCCTAAAGATATTACGAGTGCTCCGTCCGTTGCTCCGTCAAGAAATACACGCACATCCTGCGAAGTAATATATACTTTAATAAAATACAAAGGTAGTATATTACAATAATATATTACAATACCAAAACAGCTAATTATAAATGACTAATACAGTTTTAAGCAAATTATATCTAAGCTGAAAGTTGTGTTATCAAATTTGTTCAAATAAAATGCATAGACAATTTTTTATAAATCATTGTTATATAATATGTTATATAATTATATGCGTGCGTGCGTGCGTGTGTGTATATGTGCGCGCGCGCGCACTTTTAGTCGTCGGAAATCTTGGATAATGCTAAAATGCCAGTGGTATTGTAACTTTCAAGCCTTATAACTCGAAAAATACTTAACGAAAAAATATTTATAATGTTCCTCAAGGTAAGCTACAAAAATATGTAATAAAAAATGAGGAATTCCGTTCAAGAAAACAGTGATCACATTGTCCTAGCCTTGTGAAGGTCTATATTTTCATCATACATCTTCTTTAATGTCCTACAACTTTTGTCTGAAATATTTTTCCATATCTAAAGCTGTTTCCGAGATGTATGGCTTGGATGGAACTTTATAGATACCCTGTATATACAGAGTTTGATAAGTAACGATAAACTTCTCGCATAGAGATAGAGTAGACTAAACTGAGTCGAAAAGTTCTCTACCATAAGTTAAGATCAATTACTAAACATCGAATAATGATTTTCAATAATTTTTTAGCACTATCAACTTTATAGAAAAATAGCAAGAGACAAAACTTGTTAATTTTCTTTTCATAGAATTCTAAGAATTTTTTCAGAATTTTTTATCAACTTTTTTGTATTGCATTTTTTTATTGGCAATTATTTTTACCAACATGAAAAAATGAGGTACTAAAAAATTCTGAAAAAATTCTCAGAACAATTTTTATTGTTGTTTTTCTATAAAGTAAATAATACTTGAGTAATAAATTATTGGAAACCAATATTTGATGATTTTTATGAATTAATATCTTGTTAACTATTGCAAAAATTATAAAATAATAGAGGACTTTTCGACTCAGTTTAATCCGCTCTATCCCTATAGAGTTTTATAAGTTTTACTTATAAATCACCTGTTTTACTTATGAAACATCCTGGTATACACAGATATGTATATAATATATGTATATAATATATGTATATATTCGATTCGAATGCGTGCAGAAATTCTCATCGCATGCACAACTGTCCTTTTAATATAATTGAAAAAATAAAACTTTTCATTCAATCCGATATAAAATATAAGTACAGGAAGTCTTAAAAATTTTTAATTAAACAAAAAATTAACAAGATCCCTAAATTATCAGATTTTTCCTTCTAATCATTTATCGAAAATATTATCAGTAAATTAGTATTTTCTCACTCTGCCATAATATTCTTAATAAAGTTAAAAAATGGATTTCAAAATGTAATACGAGATATTATAGAATAATAGTAAGTCTTAGTTTGAAATTATTCTTCAACTAGGAATAATAACAAACAATAAAATCGATTAGAATTCCATTAAAATTCTATTTCCTTAGTACAATACATTATTTCCTTTTAATTTTTTGTGCAAGTTTTATCAATTTTCAAATACGAAGAATAATTTCTCTTACCTCGGAATACGTTACGACTACCTCGTCGACAATCGATTTTACGGGCTGAGCATTTAATCCTGCAATCTCCAAGGTATTCGGCGGCAATGGAATCCCAGAATCAAATGCAGGATGACTATTGATTAGTACAATATTAATACTGTCTTTTTCTATTTCATATAATGGTCTGATTGCATGGCCCACATATTTCTCAGCAAGCCGTTGAACAGTAGGTAAAAAATAGTAATGTCGCATGAGATCATCCATAATATAATATAAAGTATTCCATGTTCTCTGCCATAAATCTATGGGTTTCGCAATGGCTGCATGTGTATAAGGTCGAACAGTTGGATAACTTGGACCACCGATAAAATCCTTGAGCCAAGGTGCAGGACCAAACGGAATATAACCTACTATAGGTGGCTTACCTTTAGCTATCTAAAAAGCAATATTTACAGAATAACAATGGGTAAAATTAAAATTATATAAATATTATATAAATATTTGTAATAAATGCACACAATAAAATTAATTGTATATTACTATGCAAAAAATACTATGTTTTTATTCAACATTTCCGCGATTTTTATATTATATATTATTAGAAGTCTTATAAATAAATCATTTATTTCAACATTTATTATATGTCATATAAAAAAACAAGATGAGACAACAGATTATTACTGCTATAAATGATGACGAAGCATTTTTAATTTGCTACGCAAACATAATTTGATCTATAAAAACCATGTTACACAAGCAACTAGTAATTGTTAGTGATTCGACTGACATAAGTCACCCGCTCTGTGACGAATTCAGTCTTACAATTAAAAAATATGTTAAATAACTATATTTCAAACTGATTGTTTTATTTATCTTTACCTCCCACAATCCGTAGAAACATTGAGTTAATGTAATATCCTGCACTATAACGTCAAACTCGACATTCTTAATCATTTCCAAAAGCTCTTTCGCTGCTTTAGTCTTTGTTATTGCCTCACATGCATTGATTCCCCATTGATATGTAAAATATCCCGTATAAAATACACTGTACTGTTCCCACTCAGACGGATTATAATCCTCGGATTCTTCGTAAGTTTTCATCACATCATCGAATACCTAATAATAATAAGTATCATTCATTATAAGTATCATACACTATAGAAAAAGACACTATGTAAAAAAATGTAATAAATTCAGATCTTCAAAAGCATTGACTTTCTATAAAGTATAAGATAATATTTTTTTAAACAAAAGTATATATTCTTTCTCATTTATTTAATAAATTTTATATAATCAATTTATACTCATAAGGAACTTTCTTTATATATATACGCCGATTTGTATGAAACTTTTATTATTAAAAGTATATGTAAAATGATGAATAATGATATTCATTTCATTGATAATCATCAATAAACAATAGAAAAAGTTAGTTTATGGAAAATTAATGAAAATCGAAAAAAATTATACTATTCGATATTATTTTGCAACACGAGTATGTAATTAATCATTTCCAATGGGCAATGTATTTTTATCTATTAAAAATGAATCTATTATCCATATTTGTCTATCACATCGTAATTTTAAGAAAAATTCAAAGTTGACAAAAATGACATTTTTATGGCTTAGCATTGACAACAATTTTTATATTTTATGAGTACTAAAAGTTCCATGAAAATTGGCGTGTACATACATATATACTGGATAATGCTTCTTATCAAAATTAGTCTCGTAACATCTACTTACGGCGTATGTCAAGTTCTGTGCGAGTTTACCCTCAATCTTAGTTTCGTGTATGCTCGTTATATGTACATGATGGCCTTTGCGAAGTAATCCTTTAATTAAATTCTCTGCCCAAACGTGATGGCTGGTCGATGGAATAGGCTCCAATAATAAAATCGACAATGCTTTTGACGTTGTCACGAGGCTCATTAAAATATAACAAACAAGATAAAATAACAAAGTGAAATAATTTAACATCATTGCATAAAGCCTTCTGCGTAGTCTCTCAATTAAATCTCAAGACTGAATGTATCAATATTCTACTATAGCATTTGTTGTCTTTTCATTTCAAAATAAGAGTGATTGACAGTAATATAACTTTAATAATATGCTGAATTGACATGTTGACATTTTCCGACTTGGTTAATAATTATTGAAAAAAAAAGAAAAGAATGCATAAATGAATTTTTTTAAATATGTATATAATACGCATTTATTCATACGTATTTATTCATATTCTAGTGCTGTTGTCGCATCGTTAAAATTGGGTGAAAACATTTGCATACATAATAATTAATCGAAAGTAACATCGTTTTTTTTTTAGCTCAAAACTTGAATATATATTATCTTCGTTAAAAATGAAATTTAAATTAAAAAGAAAAAAATTTTAAAGTTTGAAATCTTTATTTTCTAAAGGTTACTATATTTTTTTAATTTTCGTGAGTTTGGTAATTTCTATCATATTTTTTTTATTTTTTGGTAATATAATACGAGCTGAAAAAATAGAACTTTTCTTTTCACTTTATGAGGTTATTCAAAAAATTTGCAAAAATTTTTGACTATCTATTATGAGTATAAGTATGAAGTTTTTTTACTGTTCCTATAATTTTTTTTAATGTTCCTATAATGTTTTATTACTGAATTATTCAGATATTATTCAGAATTATACAGATTAAGTTAAAAAGAACATTCTGATGAAGATTTATCTAAAATTCTTCGAAAACATATTTATTAAAAATTGTTATAATATTAAAAATTGTTATAATTATTGTGCAATTTCAAATGATCATAATTTGAAAAATATATTGTTGCGTTCTTATAACTTGCAATGAGATCCCCTTTTCAAATATTATAATTTGAGATTATATTGGTTAAACATTAGCATGCATTGGAGACATATTGAATTGAGTTTAACAAGTAGTTAATCAACAAATAATCATTTACTGATTCTGCAAATATGAGATCACGAATTTATTGAAAAATGCCACAGATTTGTAAGAATCGTTGTTTCATACGAAAGTATTTTATAATTGGATCTGCGATTACTATTTCCGTATATTGTTCTACATTTATTAAAGTTGGTATTACTGTAATTATGATTCTCAATTATAAATAAAACTGAGTTTATGAGTATATGAAAACTCCAATATTTCGTTAATAAATTGTGCTACTAAGGTAATAAACTGTAAATTGAGTTTAACAAGTAGTTAATCAACAAATAATCATTTATTGATTCTGCAAACATGAGATCACGAATTTATTGAAAAATGTCACAGATTTGTAAGAAATTTATTGTTTCATATGGAAGTATTTTATAATTGGATCTGCAATTGTTATTTTTGTATATTGTTCTACATTTATTAAAGTTGGTATTACTGTAATTATGATTCTCAATTATAAATAGAACTGAGTTTATGAGCATATGAAAACTCCAACAACAATACATTATCACTCAAGCATTGCACATAAAATCATTTCTTAGATTTCTTTTATAATATTTACTTTCACAAGTTTATAAGTATATTTCTCTTGTATTGTGTGTTAATAAAAATGAAACCTTTCACAAATTCAAATTTTTTTCAAATTTTTTTTGCATTTTTTGCATTACACAGAAGAGACTAATAAAACAGTCTATTTATGTCTTTTAAAGATAAAAAGCAATTGTAAAAAATAGTATTGACATAGGATAGCAAAATGATGTTATTTATTCTCATTTTCAAAATGTCATAATAAAAGACGTAATTTTAAATTAAAAGTAACGTTACTTTGTTATCTAGAAATATGAATGACAACTAAGCATTTTCTACACAATCTATGCAAATATGATTTAATTCATAAAATAACTTCAGTCATTTGCAATTTAAAAACAGATTTTATTAATTAGATTTTATTAACAAATATATTTTATTAATTGGAGAATGTTTTATCTTTACCTTCCACAATATTTAACATAAACGTATTCAATATAAATAATATCTCTTATACTATATTAAATTTGATAATCTTGATTATTTCTAAAAACTCTTTCGTTGCTTTAGATTAGAAATGCACCAGATAGGTCCACAGGAGCGTCAACTCAAAATTATGCCAAGTGTGGAGTAATGAGTTGATGAAAAGAGATAAAAGCAGACGGACAAAAAAAAAGAATTTTGTGATTTCTCAGCAAGCTGTTGAACAGTAGATAAAAAATAGTAATATCGTATGAGATCATCCATAATGTAATATAAAGCATGTTCTCTGTCACAAATTTATATTTTACAATGGCTACATGCATGTAAAGTCAAACAGTTGGATAACTTGGACCACCGATAAAATCCCATTAATCCAAGGACCAAACGAAATATGTATTTGTAAAATGATAAACAATATCTATGATAAACGATATCTATTTCGTCAACAATCATCACCATTTCATAGAACAAATTTAAATATTTATAGAAAATTGGAATAAAAATCAAGAGAAATATGATAAATAAAAAAAAAGACTGTCCGCTATATATCATTTGCAACACTAGTGTAAATAGTCATTTCCAATGTGTTTTTACCTGCTCATAGCAAGCAAAAATAAATAATATATAAACTATATAATAAATAATTATATTGTAAAAACTTAAATGTTAATTTTAATTTAATAATGTATAAACTTTCTAAGAAACACAAAACTGTTTCACAAAAATGTTAATTTTAACATTTTTTGCATGTCTCAAAAAATCAACCATTTCTTTAAGTTAAAATTAAAATAAAATTAACATTTTAATTTTTACAGTGTATATTTTATTTTTATGGATAGTATAATTTTTTCATATTGTTTTGTATTTTCATCGATTTTTCATGAACATTTCAAATTTTCTTATGACAAATTCCAATAAAATAGATATATATCATATTACTCATCATTTTGCAAGTACTTTCAATACTAAAAATAGTTCATCAAAATTAACTTATACATATATTAGATAGTTTTACTTATCAGAGTGCCTTTATGATTTCCTAAAATTTATTTATGGCGTATGTCAAATTCTGCGCAAATTTATCTTTGATCTTAATCTCGGTTATGCTCACTATACATGATGGCCTTTGAAGCAATTCTTTAATTAAATTTGTTATCCAGTCATGATAGCTAATCGATGGAATAGTCTCTAGCAATAAAATTTACAACGGCTTCGAGGCTTATTAAAATACAATACACAAGATGAAACAACAAAGACAACTCGATATTGTTGTAGCAAACGCGCAAAGCGCAATATTCCGATTGTATCGAATTGGGTTGAATGCACTCACAATTAGTGCGCTGCGCTGTACTCAGATGTTGCTACCTCATTTCAGCAAGCATCCGACTCATTCCTGCACAACGGTTCCATACTGTCACGCCTCGTGACAGTGCTTGATATCCATACTTTTCAATTATCAAGTACAGAGAGTACAAGAACCGAAAGCGAATTATCAACCGATTAATATTTCATCAATGATATACCACAATGCATTATATCCCATTTGTAGTATTTATATTATTCACAAGTAACGCAAAATTTAAGAGAGACGCTATTGTAGATCTTCACAATCAAATATCAATTATCTATTTGTATGAAATTTTATTATTATTAATCAATTTCAGATAGTGATATACATTAATAAGAATAACCTAAATGTCTGGCATTAAGATTAACCTCGAAGCATACTTTCGCTAGTTAGATGATAGAAATTTATTATTTCTTTTGTTTAACACGGTTAAACATCGATGTTTTTTTTTCTTTCAATAAAGCTTTAATTATAATGTAACTACTTTACAAGCAAGCTTAATATATAAGCAGAAAATATTATATATAATATTCTCGAAATATTATAATATCGTTTTAATTTTTTTTAATAATATTTATATAACGTGCTAGGAATATTTTGTGCTTATAGGATAAAATTAAAATTGATTAGAAAATATTTTTATTATTAAATGTAAACATTTAAGGCGATTATAAGAATTAATTCTGTATAATATCGATTTTTTCTAAACTTTTAAAACTAATTACTGAAGAAGCAATTAGATAGAAGTCAACGCAAAATATTGATGCAATAATTTATTTATATCATGTACAACGATAAACATTTCAATTTTAGACTATCCTCAGGTCATTTTCAGTATCAAAGTAACAATTTAAAATAAAATATTCGTTATATCATGTATTATTATAGCGCATAGATTACAGTCAAGTTAATTGATACGAGTTGTTTACTATTCTACCTATTTCTGTTCTAATTCATTTGCGATCTGAGAATGGCCCCGTTATTCTGTTTGTTAAAGTACGAATATCAAAAATTAATAGTTTATGAGTTATTTAATATTTTATGACATGTGCCAGAATAAAATGTAAAATATCTTGTCAACTATCAGTTATTCTTCCATCTTAATATTTTTATATTTGCTGAATAATTAAAGGATCATACTACATAAAAAAAAATCATACAATTCCATTAAAAAATTGAAGGTAACCTTCATATCCTTTTGATGCCTATATCTAAAAAAGAAACTAATGTGACCAAAATACATCTTCCTCGAAACCCTTCCATTTACATTTAAAACATTTTTTATATCATCAAAAATAAACGAGATATTTCAGATAGTCGATTTAAGTGAACCACTTT